AAAATCTTAACAATGGTATTAAGTATTTGCATAATTCAATAGCTTTCATAGCTTCCAAAATTAGTATTAGAAAGATAGATGTAAATGTGGCTTTCTTTAGTTGTGATTATGCATAGAAGCTCCTTTATGCTATGGTCTTTTCAGCAATATGGTTAAAAGGTAGTTGCTACTAATCTAAATATCAATGTATCTTAAAACCTTGCAAAACAATTTGTCAGGAATATTGCAGGAAAAAAGAGAAAGGTAGCTCTGAAATCTGCAGCTGTACCTTTTCAAACAGCATAACTCCACCACTTTGTGAGTTTCAAACCTGCCCAAGAGCTGACTTTATGTAATGCTGGAAAAGGGCAGTTTTCAGGACCTAATTAGGGAAAATGGTAAATCTAAACACCACGATTTCTTTTGAAATATATTAATAGGAATTTATGCATTTCACAAATCACCTGCTTCTGCAGCTGCAACACCAGATGGATTATTTATCTACTCCTCCTAGGTATTTACTCCCACTGGAGGCAGAGTGTGACTTAAGGGTTGTCAGACATACCTTTGTCTGGATTAAACCTTACTTTCTTTGAGGCTATAAATGCAGGCAAGGCAAGACGTGTGCGATACACAGGAGTATTCAGTAAAGGGGAAGGAACAAAGAGGGTCTGTATTTACTGGATGGTAAGGTGTTTCAGGAGCTCTGGTCTGAAACTGCATTTAAACATCACCTTGTTGTTGGAGTTGCAGCTGTCTCCCTGCCCACTAACCATGCACGTGTCAAATCTGCTGATGGGCCACGGATGAGTTTTGCAGGAACTGAGCTGGAGCTGGACTCCCCCAGGCACCAGGCAGAGGCAGACGCTGCTGTGGGACGGCACCGCACAGGAGGCAGAGCATGGCTGGGTAAGCAATGGCGCTCACAAGGAAGGGAGTGGGCCAGGAGTACCTTACAGATGTTTCCAAGGTTTTTTTTGCTCCTAGAACCAGCAAGACCCCAGGTTTGTCCTTTACCCAGGATACCCTTGCAGTGCAGTAAACTAATTCAGGATTAATCATTTTTTCAGCAGCTGTGTGCTCAGTGACCTGCTTCTGCAGCCAGTGAGAGCCCAAGGTACAGCAGCGCTGGCTGATGAGGCATATGTGTACTTGCAAACTTGATCATCATTCGTAACCTGCCATGGCTGATTCCAGATCCAGGACTGGAGTTAAGCGAAACTGTATACATTGGGTCAGATCATTATTTTACACAGCTGGGAACATCTGCACAGACTTGAGAGGTCTTGAGTGGAACCCAGCATGATCCTGCCTAGGCCTGCAACATTTCTGACAGCATTTGCAATGGTGGTGGTCTGCGAGTGAAAGGAGAGCAGTGCGTGCTTATCTTGGGATAGCTCGCACCTTGTACGGGAGTGGGGACCTTAGGAAGGCAAACTGACCATCTTCCCGTGGCCTGGGCTGGTCTTCGGGCAATACAAAAGTGAATTTCTGCAGGAGAGTGGTAAAGAAAAGAAAGAGCTCCATCCTGGCCAGCTGTTCACCCAGGCAGACACGGCGACCTACAAGAGAGAGAGTAGAAAGTGCCTGTGAAAAAAGGGCATTAAACCACACTGGCATGGCCACAGGCGGAGCAGATCACTCCTCCAGCTGTGCCTCTGACTTGCAGCTGGATCCTTCCCTCAGGTTTACCTGCTGAGAATGCCAGGAAGGCCTCTGCTTTCACAAACTGCCCCTTCGCATCCAGGAAGTGTTCAGGGTAAAACTCGTTTGGCTTCTCCCAGACTGTCTCATCCTTCAGCACGGAAGACAAGTTGGTGATGACTGTTGTCCCCTGCGCTCCTCCACAAAAGGAAAGAACTGAAGTGAGAACAGCAGCATTGCTTTGGCATAAGGGATCAGTGCTGCCCCCTCTGGTCTGGGTCTCCCATCTAACAGCAACCATCGTTTGATGTTTCAGAATAAGGCAACAATCTCCTCTTCTGAGTCTTATTTAAAACAGAGGTAAAGCAGGGCACTTTTCCAATGACATAGGGTCCCAGTTTACTGTGACAGAATCTTAAAATAATTTCTAAAGCATTTCTAAAAAGACTTAAGCACACATTTTCAGTGGGAACAAGCTGGTAAGACACTTCGGTTTAGTATTTCTGCCAACACTGGAATGCAGGTTGCCGTAGTAATCAAGGACTGTTTTCAGTGTTGGTGTTGCACCTGTCCTCCCAACTTTTTCTTTACAAGAAACTGGGGGGGAGTAAAACCTGGGGCAGATGACCAAGCTGGCCAACAGAAAGGATGCTGTACCATAAATGTCACGCTTACTCTAAACTGGTGAGTTTGCTGGGGACAGCTCACTTTCTTTGATGGCTGACATCTCAAGAGGGACTCCCACCATTCTACTCCTGAGGCTTACCCACTATATCAGCTAAGTACAACTCTCTGCACTTTATATTAATACTGTTATTAATATTGGGCTTTCTTCTTCTTATTTTATGAAATCTGTTTTCAACCCATGGGTCTCCTTTCCTTTTTCCAATTGTCCCCCATGGGTGGGCAGAAGTCATTGGGTGATAGAGTAATTGTCTAAACCACCACAGGTTTCCACATAGCCAGCCCAAACCTAGAGCACAAACATGACCATCTGCCTGGTCATAGCATTTCAAAATGACCTACTTCAGTGCTCGCCGGTGACTGGGATTTGAGGCTGGAAGTGCAACGCTGCAGAGTTGCACGGGGTCACCCACACCCCAGGTCTGGTGTCTGCACAGGGAGAGGATGCCACATTGCCTATCTGGCCACAGTCACCTTGGGAATGAAGAAGCCTTGCACCTCGGTGTCCCGGTACGTCACGTGAGGCAGTCCACTAGGAGCAATATCGGCATAGCGTTGCACTTCGTGGATCACAGCATTGGTGTAGGGCATGCTCGCCTGGTCCTCCATGGTGGGTGGCCTCTCTCTGCCAATCACCTTATCAATCTCTGCCTGGACCTTACCTGAAAGCAGCAGAGCCAAGGAATTAGAGAGCCCTTAGATAAACAGGAGGGGCTCGTACAAGCCGTGGGAAGGCTGGCACCATGAGATTGTAGACACCAGGTGAGAGCAGGACAAGCGACTAGAGAAAGGAACAGAAACTGGAGGGGAATACATTTGTTTTCATTTGTTCAGAGCCATCTGTATAATGATGTGCACAGTGTCTTTAATAAAGGTCTTGTGACTTGACAAGATACCTTATCCCTCCTCTATGCAGCTGAAAGGGTATGCAGCATTAGAGAATTAAAACAGATTCATGTCAATTCCAAATACTAGAAGGAGGGCACTCTGGCCACTGAAAGCCTCCAAGTAGCTTTCAAAATGAAGGTGAGAGTGAACTTGCCCTTCTAACTCATCTTTTTATCAGAGCTTTCCCCCCTGCCACCAGTCCCTGCCAGAACAGCTGCGTTTCGGAAGTGTTTCTCCTGGTTTCTGCTAGACCAAAAATCACCGAAGCTGTTCCTCTTTGCAAAATCCCCAAACCATGGAGAGGTGCTCAGTCTCCTTGCAGAAAAATGAGGGTTGAAGGGGAGATGCCAGACCTCTGCCCATCTTCTGACTTACTATATACTTCCGGGTAGAGAAGCATGTACAGAAATGCCCACCGGAGAGTGGTGGAGGTGGTCTCAGTACCAGCTGCAAACAAGTCTGCGGTCACCAGACGAAGGTTGTTATAGTTGAAACCGTTCTCTTCAGCTTCCTTACCCTGTGGAGAGCAATCAAGCAGGTGATTGGAGCTGGGGTACTCACTGGGTGAGAAGACTGTTTTCCCAGAGAAGTGCTGAGAAGCACTAGATCCGTTTTTGCTGACCAAGGAGTTCATTAGAAGAGCAGGGCACAACACGGGCAATGGTCTGTGTATGACTGATGGACTTCGGTAACCCTGTTACCTCCTGTACTTGAAGGCCGTCAGTCACCTGCCATATCCTGAGAGATGAACGCTACGCTTGCCTTCAAGGACAGAGGTAAACACCCTGTGCTCTCAACTCAACCAGGCAGCAGGCCCCTGCCACTTGCTGTAACATCCTCCCTCAGAGAAGGCTGAACACAGTTATTCAGGTTTGATCAGAGCAGAAAACCCACGCAGTAGAGAGGAGGCTGCATTGATGTTGCAAATACAAAATTAACAGTGTTTCAAGGGGGTTATCTATAGCTATGCATTACAGATTCTTGCTGCTTCTGCCCTGCTATTTTCTTACAATAAAAAAAAATTTTAAAAAAATCAGGGTATCATTGCTGCCTATTAAGTCTGCAACACCAATTTCAGCAAAACTGGCCTCCCATCCAAATGCTAATTGAGCTCAAATTTGTTAGCATATGAGATACGACAAGCTCTCTGCATGAGTTCATCTGCTTGTCTTTTCTAATCCTCTTTATATGTTCCTTTCCTGGGGACTAGCTTCTGTTAAGTTATTCTGTATATTTTGATGATGTTGTAATACAGATAGCAATTAATAAGGGCATTTAAGACTCAACTGTTATGCCAATAAAAGATCTCTGGCAAGGGAGCTATGGGGCTTACCTGACCAAAGTTAACCCCACAGAGAGATTTAACAGGCTGGCTTATCAGGGGACTTTAGTGAACAGAAGAGAGATGTGACGAGGCACCAAGGTCAGGATTGCATCCGCCCCAAACCATACTGCTGGGTGCAGAGTAACGTAGGTCACGTTGCTCTGCCCATGTGAGCCAGGGGGCCTAATGCATGCACTGGAGGTGCCCAGTGCCTGCAGCACGGCTGGGCTTGCTGTGCAGAGCAGCAGCCCAGCCTGAGGACTCGAATGGCAGAAGAAACTCCCAGGCAGAATTTGCTACTATTGCTCATCTGGCACTTGAAATTGAGTGAATCCATGTGCAGAAACATATGGTGGATGGATAGGCTGATGCAAGTACCTTTGATTTTATACTGACTTCATGCCTGACTAAATCAAAGGAAAGTCTCCTTTTAATTTCAGTGAGGTTCAGATTTAAGCCCTCATGTGATCTGTAGGGAACCAGTTCTTAGCAAGCAGTTCAAAGACATGCATCTTTCCAAGATGCTGTCTTTCCAAGTCATAACTTGGTTCAAAGGCAGGCTATGGACTGGGCAATGATACCAAAACCCCAGGCTGTTGCTGCAGTTTTGTAACTGATTTTAGAGATCAGTCACTGAAGCACAGACAAACCCAGAATTTTGCGTATTGGCTTCTCCCCTGGCATAAACTTAGTGACTTCTCAACTACTGCCTGTTAAATGTCTTCAGAATAGCGTAGACTGGAAAAGAAGAGAGCCACTGGACACCAAGGGCAAACAGAAGGTAGCAAACAGGGACAAGAACATCAGCAGATAATACGGTCTCTTAAGATAATAAAGAAAGGCACAGCATGAAGAAGTTAGCACCTTTCTTCGCAAAACACAACATGGATTTAAGAAATAGGAAATTAGTTAGTAAGGGTTTTTCTGCAGCTTTATGAGGAAAGTCAGCTTCTATCAACAAGATTAAACAGGCAGAGGAATTGTAGCTGGACCCCAAGGTTCTGCTGGTGTAACCCTACCTTCTTCATTTCCTTTAAAAATGCATCAGTGAGATCTCGGGTGTTAGCAGGGTTCCAGGTCTTCATGTGCTTTTCTATGAGCACATCTATGAAGTCCATGAAAACCTTTTGCTTTGGAAAGACCCTCTGTGGCACTCCAGGGATGCGCAACAAAATGGGCACCACGTTAAGAAGCTGAGATGTCAGAACCAGAGAGAGAGAGAAGTAAGACATTATGTGATGCAAAAAAGAAAAATAATGAAAACACAATGTTCTCAAGCAACAGAGGGCAGCTTCTTACAGAACATATTAGGCTCTTGGTTTACCTGAGGCAGGAATCCAGTTTCTTCTTTCAAGAAGTCCTCAAACAAATGTATCAACTTCTTGAATGTCTCATCACCGTAGTTGAAACGCTCTCCATAGACGGTGGTGCAAATCACATTGCAGACTGCATTATTTACAAGAAAACGTAAATCGATAGGACGGCCTAAAAGTGGAAATGGAGACCAAGCAATGAAGCTAAGCAACACCAAGCTGTTGAACCTTACCTGTCAGCAACAAGGATTCACAAATGCCTCCCTGATGCCTTCAAGAGAAAAGTCCCCAAACCACTCAAAAGAACAAATGCGTTGTAATAGGAAGTGAAGGTAATCTCATTTCCTACTGCTATTTGGTTGATCATTGTTTAAAGGAGAAAGCTCCCAAGAAAAGCTGAGTTGCAGGGTTGTTCTGTGACTTGACAGACAACACTTTGCTTTGTGTCTAGATGACAGGTGACATGCTGTGAAAACTCTCAGCTGCACTTCTACAGCATGTGATAATGTCAGTATGTTCCACTAAGCTTCATAAAGGTAATAGTTACCCAGTTCTGGGAATAATTATACTTTGCCTCTTTATTTCTATTTATTTCCTATTTGTTCCTGTTTCAAATGGATTAATGTCACAGTAGCCCCACTGCATAAAGCAGAAGTGGCTTTAAGGTAGAGCTGGGTCAGATATAGACTAGAAACATTGCATCTGCTTAAGAAGAGCGCGCTGCATGCAGATGACAGTGGCTGTAGTGCTACCTCTCTCTGCATCACTGTACTGCTTTTTTCTATGATTTCCCCATCCTTCTGGATGGGACAAACCTTCTTCAGCCTTGATTGCAGAGCACAGAAATCCAGCTTCCTCCGTCACTCGCTCCTCCAAGGATTTCTTTCCCATGCCAAAGTTCCTCAAGGTAGTGAGCGTGAATTTCCTTAGGTCCTTCCAGACGTGCCCATATCTTGCCATAACAAGTCCTGGAATTATGGATAAGCAAGAAATGTCAGGAGCTCTGACCCTGAACATCAAGCAAAATTTGCTAGAGAATAGCAAATGTGAGTTTGGAGGTACAGGTCTGCGTGGACAGATGAAAGAGCCTGATCTTGTACAGCTTGTTCATACAGCAATTCTAAAATGGGATTACTGTGCCAAAGAGTGGCAGACCTACAGGGAGATTGACCAGAGGGACATGAGAAAGCGGCACCATACTGAGAAAATCTTCCATCTACCCTCCATCCACCCAGTCCTCCCTGTGCTAGAGCCAGCAGGGAATGTCCATTTTCAAGGGACTTGCCTTCAGATTTACGTCCGTAACCCAGATGTTCATATATTGGAAAGTATGGCCGGTCAGCAAAGTCCTCCGCTCTGTGGACCAGGGCTTCCTTCACCATTTTATACCCGTTCAGTACTACCATGTTGGACCAGCAGTACTGGAGATGGAAGGCATTTCCAAACTTCTTGTGAAGCTGCCAAGATAGAAAAAGTACATCCCTGAAAATGAGCTGAATGTAACATCAAAAATACCATCATATCCTTCCTTAGGGCCTTTACTATTTGGTGATTTTTTTTGAGGTGCTTTTATTAGGAGACCTTCAGCTGACCTTTGACCTTCATCTTTGCAGCACAACAGCTCAGAGCGGTGCCAAACAGCCGAAGCAGGGATCAGTGCTCAGTGAGTGGTAAGATTTATAATACACCTATCCTGGCCAAACTGTTGCCATGACCACTGTGCAAGTATTTTGGATTTTGTCCGACATCACAAGGTCAAAGGACCCTTTGAGGATTTTCAAAGGCTGCATGCTCCACAATGAATTATTTCCTAATACTTGTCTTAATTCTGATCTGAAAGACTCGGCAGGTTTTGAGCTAGTCTACTTCTGCTAGAAGGAAATACTGATGATAAGGTGATATGTAATTTTTTTAAAGATACATTTCTCCCTAAAGATCTACCCAGAGCCCGGTTCCCAGAAACACAGGGGGAAGAGGCAAGTCCACGCTGGAGTTTCAGGTCAACTTTCTCCCTAAAAGCAGCGTACACACATAGCAAGGTTGACAACTGGCACACACCATGCATCTGTTGTGATCTGTAAGAGACGTAATGCACAGGTGAGCCTGCAAGCCATGCACTCACCATGGGAGCTTGCCATGGAGCTCATTCTCCTCTGGGTAGACGAGCCCTTTGACTGGACACAGACACCCAGGAAGGTTGAAGCTCCCCTGTCAGTCAGTGACACTGAGCAAAGCGCTCAGGAGCTTCTTGTTGGAGGTCACTGCAATAGCAGCAATGCCCCACAGACTGCGCCATGTTTTCTTTTTCCTTTTTTTTTTTTTGTCTCCTTTTATTTCGTTGTTAGAAAGGTAGGCAAATTCATTTTTGCACTGTAGCAATGCAAGAAATTGAAGTTCTTACAACTGTATTTGCAGTGAGGTTGGAAAGGGAATTAGCACTTCACTGGCACTAAAACCACATAATTAAAAGTGATTACTGGTCAAGATTGTGGATAGCATGACCCTGATTTGATGTGATTTGAAAATAGTGATCTTTTGGACCACATGCAAGGAAACAATACAAATGCTGTATTTAGTTTCTCTGTTAGGCAGATTTTGGACAGACAGTGCCATCCTAGAGAAAAGGCTTTTGGAGTCTGCAAACTGAAACACAAAACCCCCATGATTTATCTGCTGCAAGCTGCACTGTGCTTTTCCTTTGAGAAGAGCTAACCCCTGACTTTGATTAGGAACGCTGCCGAGATTTTTGGGCACCGCTGCTGGGGCAAATCCCACAAGCTGATCTCTCACACTGAAACTGTCACATGCCTGTAAGCGTGCTCGAGTAACTGCCAGGGAAGTCTGCCATTCCTGCAGCCACATCCCTACCCACAGATATTTGCTTTTCCGCCCTTGTTTGTACATCTCCCTGTTCCCTTGCCCCAACGCCGGCCCATGTGTTAAGTGGGTGGCCAGCTCTACAACAGAGCAAGCATCACCCGTTGTTGTGGGCACAACAGCATCTCCCACTCAGCTCACACGGAGATTGGGAGATGAACGCTGGCAAGTGTCAGTGTGTGTTTATCTATTTATCTGTATGGGCCAGGTCAGTGTCCTTTGGCAGTGACTTGCTTCATCCTGGACTTTGTAGAGGGCATTGCCCTTTGGCTTTGTGCAAGGGTAGGTCGTGCCAGGGCATCCCCATCCCTCCTGGGCCCACTGTTGTGTGAAGGGTGCTTTGTCACTCACCTGCTTGAAGGTGAGCTGGGGGTTTTTGAAGTTAACATGCAGCATGTTCCCAATGAAGGGCAGCGACACTGGGCCCGGTGGGTAACGGCTCCACTTCTTCCTGCGCTTCATGAAGTCAAGAAGTAAAGTAAAGACTGTGAGAAAAACTCCCACTATAGAAATGTTGCTCCAGAAGGATGACAGCTGGGACACCAGCCACGGGAGCAATGCCATTTTGTAGCCTGGTCTTCTTGGTCAACGGTCTTTGTCTTTTGTCCCAGGATTGCTTCTGCCTCTTTCTCTTCTCTCTTCTCTCTCACTTCCCTTCTCAGGCAGCTCTCCACTTCTCCTTGCTTTCTCCTCTTCTCCACACTCTCTTTTTCTGCCTCTCTGCTCCTCTCTCCCTGCAGTTGCTGGCTTGTGAATGTGGGACTTGGCTCAGACCCGAAGCTCCTCCTCTGCTCTGCTCAGCCTTGGGGGAGTGGTGCTGAGAGTCATCCCTCCTCTTCCTCCTCCTCCCTCTCCAAAGCCAGAGCTCAGAGGCCTCTTTGCCCCTGCTGCCAGTGGCAGCCTCTGCAGTGGTGCCCTCCGCAGGGCAGGGCTGGGTGAGGCTCAGGAGTCTGGGTGCCCCTCTCCCACAGCCGAGGCGGGATCGCAGTTTACAGTAAACCATCCAGTCTTGCCGCATTCTCGTGGGGCAAATTTGGAAGAGTTTGTTTAAAGCTGTGTCACCACCTTCTTTGTACGGACAAGTCAAAGGAGAAGCAACTCCTGAACAAAAACCACCTGTGTTTCTGTTTGCAAGACTGATTATTTGTTCCACTGGAGCTTGGGAAAGCTCAGGTTAGGTCAAGCTTTCCGTTACAGAAAGCAGTTGTCACAGATATTAGCCTAAAACAGTGACCTGAGACTTTAAAAATCATTTATGTTTCTGCGAATAACAATCTTTCTCCAACTGCAGATGGCAGCCAGCATGATGACCTTGGTTTTTGTAGAATACAGCTCAACTACAAGGCAGAAAGCACAAATATTGCAAGGACCCTCGAATTTCCAGCCTGTGGGGCAGCAGTAATGCAAACACAATTATGGAGACAGTCGAAGTATTTCCTGAAACAGCCCAGCGATGCGCTCCTGGCATCCCTGCCATCAGAGATCAATAAAGCTCGTGCACATGACAGTTAGTCCTAGCTAAAAAGCAGCAGGAAACCCATCACGGTTTGATCTGTGATCTCAGCGTGATCAGAGGAAAGCTCCTAATGGAGCAATTGCTGCAGCAGCGATGGAGTGCTCTGACTGTGCAGTCAGCGCTGGTGCGCAGGGACCAGGGCCTCGAGACGCCCCTTGCCCAAAAAGGCACTAAAATGCTCATTGTGTGCAGAGGTCCCCTCATTGGAGTCTCTGCAGCATGATCCTGCACATCCCTTGTGAAAGCATCATGGCTCAGGGTTCATCTCAAGCATGTGTAAACAAGCATATGCAGCATGGGGAACAACCAGGGCAATCAGTAGCCTCCACACAGCTGCAGAATTGTGGTTTCTTTTTGGATCACAGAGGCGTGGTGGGATGGTTCACAAGACTGGAGAGCTGCCACAGGGGGACATAGGCTTTTCTGGAAAGAGAGGCTGGAAAGTGTGAGTGGTGATGGTGACTTATGCAGGGGAGGGCCCAGAGCTTTGCTATGGGACAGGTGCTGAGCCAGTTGAGTCCTGGGCAAGGAGAAGGCAGTGTTGTGGTAGACACTACAGACTAGGAGGGCAAGTCAATGGAGCCATCTCGCACAATTACGGGCCTTAGGACTCATGGGTGTACTTTAACTGGAAGGACTCTAGGATGGGGCGCAGTGTAGGGGGTTTCTGAAGTGTGCTGAAGACCATTTCTTGACACAGGTGATCAATGAGACAACTACAGGAGATGCTCTGGGTTTGCTATTCAAAAACAAGGAAGAATTGGTCCAGGGCATTATGGTGAAGGGTAAGTTTGCATGCAAGCAACCATGAGACCATGGAATATTAAATCCTGCAAGAAGTCAGCAGGATAAATAGCATTACTGCCCTTGCCTTCAGGAGACTGCACCTCGTTCAGGGATCTGCTTGGCAGGATCCCAAAGGAAGCTGCCCAGGAGAGCAAAGGGGCCCAGGAGAGCCTGTTGTACTTCAAGGGCAGCCTCCTCAAAGCATGAAAGCAGTGCACATCGTTTATTACCTTGACTTTGGCAAAGCCTTTGACACCACCTCCCACAGTATCCTTGTAGCGAAATCAATGAGTTACAGCCTGACAAGGTTGGTGATAAAATGGGTGGAAGACTGTTCAGACCGTGGGGATCAAAGAGTTGGGATGAGCGGTACAAAGTCCAGCTGCTGGCTGGTCACTAGTGACATCCTTCAGGTGTCCATATGGGGCTGATAAAGTTTAGTGTATTTATTAACAATATGGATGATAGGAGAGAGAACACTCCCAGCAAGTACAGCCTGGGACAGCCACCAAGAGCTGAAGTACGTTTGCAGAGTAATTCGGGCATTTGTTGGCTCCTAAGTACCCACCACATTTCAACCAGCTCTACTGCAAGGCCCTGGGAGACAGAGCTGTGCCAGTCCTGTGCTCAGAGGGCTGGTTGAGCAGGAGATGGCTGGGTGCCAAAAGGTGATCGATCTCACACCAATTTTCATGGCCCATGCACTCAGATGACAAGTGAGATGATGGGAAATGTGGTCCCAAGAATGACAGCGGACGTTCTCTGATCACGCCGCTGGCAAAAGGTGTTACCCTGCTGGTTTCAGTTCTTCAGCTCCAACTTTACAAACTTCAGCTGAAAAATATCCACCTGGGTTCTTTCCTTTTTGCTTACCTTGGCTAGAGCCAAAGGCTGGCAGACTCCCACCACTCACCTCTGGGCTGTCAGAAGGATGGTTGACCGGAATTTGGGAAGTGGATTTACTTTTAATGAACATCACCCAGGAAGGCCACCAGAAGAATAAATCTCCAACTGCTCTTCTCGGGGCTCGGCCTTGACATAAGGCAACAAAGCTGCAACTCGAGAAATGCATGAGCTTAAGAAAAAAAATACTACACTCCCTAATTACTACTTATTTGTACTCCCCCCTAATTTTCACCTTTCCAATAGGTCTCTGAGCGGATGATCTTTTTCCTCTACCCCCTTCAGGCTGCAAACAAGACAGCTCCTCCACTTTTGGCTAGCAGCATGGGGTCCCATTCCTGCGTAGCACTGGAGCCAGCGTTACAGCTTAGGTAATTTCAAAAGAACAGCTTTCAAAGCAAGCAAAGGAACAAGAGACAACACATCTCTTTCTGAGAGAGAGAATGAGAGAAGGGTAATTTTCCTGAGTTAATTTGCATTTCTTTTCAATAAAGTAATATTTTGAACGATTTTCAAGTCAGAGGAAAAAACCGCTCCAAATCCATACATATTAATTTCGGCTCCCTGCAGCCCCGCTGTGCGCAGGCAATTAAGAGAGGAGCTAAGTGAAGACACAAAGCTGCATGCAGACATCACCATTCTTTGGCTGGAGAACCTGCGATGCAAACAGAAAGGCAGCTTTACGAAAAAGCTTATTAATATTGCGAAACGAAGCAGTTAGAAGTAAGGTAATGCAAGAGTTGCCTGCACAATTTTAATTTAACCTTTGTGTCCGTAAGATCATCTTTAATTACAAGCTCATGCTATTTTTTTCTTTCTGAGGGACCCTCCCTTCATTCAAAGCACAGGATAGATAAGGATCATTTTCCTAATCCTGTTTTAATTAGAGTGTTTGGCTCCAAAGCCTATTTTGCAGCGTGCTGCTCACACCCTGCCCTTAAGGGTGTTTTGATTGGGCTTTTCCACAGTGGTCATCAGCGACTGCATGGATTTGGAGCAGGCAGTCTTTTGTACTCACACTCAGGTGACACCAGTGGAGAAATTGGAGATGTAAGGCCAAGTGACCTTGTAAGTATTGGTACCCGATAGGAAAAGCCCAGAAGCTGGCACACGCAGCTCTCCAGGACCCGTGCCCAGCTCCCGGCTGGGGTTGCAAGCGGCTTCTGCAGACCTTCCTGCAGGATCACAGGTTTGGCAGCCCTGACACAAAGGCCTCACATTAGTGCCTGCTTATGAAAAATGCTGTTGCAGTAATTGCCCAGCACCACATACCCAGTCCTTCACAGAGGTGCAGTGAAGATCTGTCAGTGGCCAAAGAAACAATCTTCCTTCTCTCCCTCTTTGCTTCAGCACTGGAGCCAGCCAGGAAGCACTGGTCACCTAACGTGACTGCTTCCTTGTGCTTTCAGAAATTCTTCATGCAAATCCCAGCAGGCTGTCTGCTTTCCCCCTAACACCGTTAGATGGATCCAAACCTCCACAGTGTTTCACTCTGGGAGCAAAGCCGCTTGCCACAGCAGAAATGCTCATTGAGAAGCCCGCTGCTCTTTTTCTGGCTGTCCACCTCCCAGCCTACTGCAGAGGTGGCACTGGTGGAGACCCCAGAAACCTCTCCTCTTCTTCTTCTTCTGAGCCCAGGAAACATGGTCTCTCACCCAGCCCCAGACTTTTTTGGTCCTTTCTCCACCCCCCATCTATCTCTTGCCTGTTTTGCCTTTGCTCAGGCGGCCTCTTCTCCCCATTGTTTTGGTGCTGGAAGGGGACAAGGGGAGGGTGAAGGAGACCAACTTCGCACTTGTCATTCCCCCTTGCCAGCTTCTGGCAGCCAGCAGCAACCACCACCTGCTCTGCTCAGGCATCCCTGGGGAATTTGAGCTGAAAAAAACGAGAACTCCATCAAGCGCACGCAAAACTGGGCTTTCAAGTGCTTGTAACACGGCCAAGTTTGAGCACAGTTTTAGAGAGCTGGTGCAATGTGTCTTCCTAACAGAAAGCTGCCTCCTGCCAAATTTCGCGTGTAATGCTTCAAAGCATTAAACTGAGAAAGGAAAATATCACCAGAAATTTTTCTAACGGGTTAGGAGAAGGTCAGATAAACAATGGGTTTCTAAGAACTATGTCAGCCATTAGAAAGGGATTAAAAACATTTTTGGCTGAACGTTCCCAAACAAATTTAGCCTGAAGCACAACCCCAGCCTGGGAAATTTTAGTCTCAGCTGGTTCATTGTGACTTTCTTGGCCTTCAGATGGGGTTTTGTACATTGGAAGTACTTCTACGATGGACTGTGCTAACAGCTTGTTCATAATAAAGCAGTCAGCAGAACTGAAATAGCCAATTCCTTCATAGTTACTGTTACTA